ATATAGTAAAGTATGAAGGAGATATTTAGTATCAAAGTAGCATTGGAATAATGGTTGGAATATTCACAGATATATGGCTTGTAATTTATGTACTCAGGATTTCTTTCTTTTATTTTATTTTATTATAGGACTTTTAGAGGTTATGTGGTTGTCAGGCTTTGCTAGCTCTCTAGGCTTTGAGGCAGTGGAAAGATTTAGCAAAGTTAAGTCGGTACTGCTTTAGGTTAGGAAGTTATGTTCTAGGCCGCTTTAAGCGTGTCCTCCCAGTTTTCTTTTCGGGTGTTGCTCGTTGTATTATTCGAACATTGCTCGTTTTGTTTGAGTTATAATACCTCTATCGTTTTGAAAAAAAAAAAGAGAGAGAAAATATTTGAAAAGGGTCAATGACGATAAAAATTTCACCAATTTGATATGATTTCTACAAAAACTTTGTCTTTATACTTCTGAATAAAAAAATCTCCAAAAAAAACTTTCACCAATTTGATGAGATTTCTACAAAAACTTTGTCTTTATACTTTTGAATAAAAAAATCTCCAAAAAGTCTTTTAATTTAAAGTTTCACAAAGTTTTTATTAACTGAATACAGAGAGACTATTAAAGACTATGAGAAAGATTTTATGAATACTTAACACTTTTAGAAATTAAAAAAAAAAGTCTTTAGAACTATCAATTAAATACATCTAGACATTTTAAGAGTCTCGAAAATAGAAATCTCAATTGAATACACTTTTAGAAGTGGTTGTTGATATTAAGGTGATATGATATGTAAAATAATAGGATCATGTATTATCCTTTCAAAGTTTGTGTTAATTCAAATGATAAACAGACTTTAAAATATTTTAATGAAGCTAGATATAATGATTTGATATAAACAAAATGATGTGTATGCATGTGCATATATAAATATAGGTTATAGGTTCTATTCATCTCTTTTTTCAACTAATCATTATTGTACATGTGTGAAAAGGAAGAATAAGAAAAGTATATTTATTATTTTGCCTTTAATTTATAATTCTTTATTCAATGTATCTTTATTTTATAAATCTTTACTCAATCTGTGTGTTTAAGAAAAATAACAAAGGTGGGGTCATTCTTTTACCTTTGATTTATAATTCTTTATTCAATCTATCTTGATACTCGTTCATTGGGTTTGGACTTTACCTTTTGATTTATTATTCTTTGTTCAATTTATCTTGATGTTTGCTCGTTAAATTATGATTTTACTTTTACATGTTCGTATTTAATTTTGTGTAGTATAATTCTCTTTGTAAATCATCTCATATGTTTTCATCAATTTACTCTTATTCAATCCCTATATATAATTTCATGATGTCACGATATTATATGTACTTCAAAATTTGGTGTGAACCTTTTGTGCTCCGTAATCCTATTTGTCGAAGTGTAGTGTTTTGTAGTAGTCTATCTTGA